TTCTTGATTTAATGGTTGAAGATGTAAGTTTCACGCATCTCTCTTCTATATTCTGCGCCAATCATACCTCTCTATAATAACATCCCTATATGATAGTTATTCACTATAAAAGTTAAAGTCCTAGTCTGATAGATTTTCCATCCCATCAAAATAATCCCCAACAGTGTCGAGGGAAGACAACACATGTACGTCCTTTTTCCGCCCCCGCGAGGGGTGAAAGAGTTTTTCCAATCAAAGGACAATCGAAACGGGATTTGTTTATTTATTTCAGAGTCGCCACTTGGGAGATTTAGGGAGTTTTTCTCGAACCGATTATTATATTATGTTATAATGTATGTCCTCTATAATAGCACTTCACTATAACAACTAAAAAATATTGGAACAAACAAAACTATTATAGAGAGATTTAAGTGTTTGCGGGTTCGGCAAAAGTTAATATTTCGGAATCAATTTTTTTGGCTTCACCACTTTTTTGCATACATAAAATCCAATGACCCTTTTATGTTTAAATTTCTTTAGACTACATAATGATTCATTTGAATTGTTTTTTTTAATATATCAGAAAAATAATCATGGCACGTATGATTTCATTTTCGTGGATGCTGACAAGGACAATTACATCAACTACCACAAGAGGATAATAGAATTAGTGAAAGTTGGTGGTGTGATTGGCTACGACAACACCCTATGGAATGGTTCTGTGGCAGCTCCACCTGATGCCCCTATGAGGAAATACGTAAGGTACTATAGGGATTTCGTATTGGAACTTAACAAAGCATTGGCAGCTGATCCAAGAATTGAGATTTGCATGCTTCCCGTTGGAGATGGAATTACCCTGTGCCGCCGCATCAGCTGATTTTTTTTTATCCAACTACCTTTGTTTTTCTTTTGATTTGTGAATAAATATTTTGTATCTCATGACTATTATCGCTATTAATATTTCTATATATTTGTATTTCAAATATTGTACTTCTGAAATTGTAACAAATACTTAAGATTTGTCTCATTCGGCTTGAGTAAAGTTTATTTACAAGATGATATTTTATCCTCCGCAAATGTATTTGAATTCTTCAAGAAAGATCTGGCAAGTGCAGCTCTATATGTACAAATTATTAATATAAAACTTAAATGGACTAGAACCTCGAATCCATAAGTTTTAAATTTTGGTTCCGCCTTACCTAGTAGGTACTACAAGTTTTTTGAGAGCTTTAGGGAGCTGCTGCCTATTAATTTTAATCCCATGGTAGATAATACATTATTTAGCGCCCCCAGAAAATTAAAGCCAAAGCCGCTAGCTGTTCTTGTACCTTTGCAATATAAGGGGAGCACTAAGATTGAACAATGAAAGAGGTAAGTAGTTTTCTAGCTATTGCAGCTTATGAATTACTAATTTAAAAGCATTTTCTGAATTACTTCTAAGGGTTTTCTTTCGGCATTCGGGTATGTTACATAGTGCAATATTTGAAATGGCCCAAATAATTGGAACAAAGTCCTCTCTTTTCACTTGTAACCCACGACAGAAACTATTTATATTTGCTAGCCGAAAAAATGTATAAAATTTATATATAACATACGGAATGTGTATATATACAAAAATTATATAAATTTTATTAAGTTTTTCTGCTATTATTTTTACGGCGGCTATTCAATGTCATTTTTTTTCTATTTTTATCCCCACCAATTGGGCTGAAGTCCTCTTATTGCATATATTCCATTACAAGTTTTCATTTATATTTTTCTTCGCTTAAGTCCGCATGATAATTTGTTTTTAAGTACTTATCGTACTCCAATTTTGTATTAGTGCATCATAATACATCACTTCCTTTTTGGTAACTCGAATCGAATGGCATAAACCGACCAGCCAAATTTAGTTGTTAGATTTCTAAACTTTTTAAAAGTAATTGGAATGTGAGTGAAATAATATATGAAGTCATAGCTCGAGAGGTTCTCTATTTCCCTAATTAAGATACACGACAAAATTTAAGCAATTTTTACAAAAAAATTCCTCTATTTATTCGGCCACATATATTACTCTTTTCATGCTAGACATCTTGATTGGAGTAATTAGAAATATTCTCTATCAAACTAACATTCCAAACTGTTGGATTTTTTTCTAAAGGTTGTGAAGGAAAAATGGAAAATATCTCTTGGATTGCACCTCTTCATCTTACTTTTTTATTGTCTATAAATTTAGAGGCTTGGCCTCATTTTTACACACACAAAAAATATCTCTTGTCTTCTCTACATTGTTGCATTGTTTTTCCAAAACAAACATACACACTACTAGAATTCCGGAAAAAAGCGATCAAACTTTAGCGACCAAAGTTGGTCTGTCAAGAAAAGCGACCAAAGTTGGTCGCTAAATTGGCGAAAATAATAAAATAATTATTTGATATACATTAGCGACCAATGTTGGTCGTTACTTGGTCGCTAATTTTGTCAAAATATTGACCGGACTGATCAGACTTGCTTGGTCAAAGGTATATTGAGATTAGCGACCAACGTTGGTCGCTACAGGGGATCCACTTATATAATTATATAATTATAATATTATTTTAAAAAAATTATAAAATATAAATAAATAAAATTTAAAATTAGCGACCAAAGTTGGTCGCTAATTAAGGGGTAAGCAGATAGCGACCAACTTTGGTTGCTAAAATGGGACCCAATTATACAATTTTAATAATTATATTTTTATTTAAAAAAAATTATAAAATAAAAAAAAATATAATTCAAATTTAGCGACCAAAGTTGGTCGCTTACGAAAATAGAGGCCAACTTTGGTCGCTAATCTGGGACCGAGTTCTAACGTTTAACAATTATATTATTATTTTAAATATTATATAAAATATAAATAAATCTGATTTAAATTTAGCGAC